CCCTGCTTAACCGACCCACAACCCTGCAACACTGAGAAATACGTATCTTCTAAAGTTGTATTTTACATCATTATAAACTCCAAGCTCTCTATATTAGAATTAAATGTGCTCCCATCACTCAGCAGTCCCCAGTAAGAAATATACGACAAGGATTTAATGATTGTAAAACAGAAAACATAGCTCTTTTCTCAAATAACACCATAAAGATCCCCTTGCTTTGGTAAGTAAAACCAATGAAACTTGCTTCTTCAAAAGTTTATGTTACCAGATAAACAGGTTGGTCAAGTCTTATTGATACGATCAAGATAGATCCCTAAGCGCAAGTTTGGAGGATTTTGAAGCGCACAAGCAACAAGGAAAAGGGTTTATAATTCGCTCTAGAACCCTTATAAATCAAGCATAAAGACTCAGCACAATAATCAAAATTCAAGTCTCTCTCATGTAATACAATTAACCCTTAAAATGGGAAGCTCAATTGAACCCTGTAGAAAATCTCTACAACAATTGAAATATTAGAACTCTTAAAGAAATAATTAAAATATTATCAATACCAAAACTTATCTGAAGCTAATCAAATACTAACTAGATTGGGAAATTGGACATGCTGGCTTGGGCAAACTGTTGCTCCATTTCTCAGAACCCAAAAACAACTTTAAATCACTAAGTATATCCATTACAGCTTTGATTTACAAGATAAGCCACACCAAGATATTAAAAATCTCATTAAGATTATGTGATTTTGAGTAAGACCCTTTGCTCCCACATCACCTATAGGGAGATCCTATCAACATCTACCTCTTATTCTCCCGAAGCTAAAGGGGTCAAAAGTGGAATTAATATGAAATAATTGGTCCAACTACGATAAGCAGGCAAAGCTAGCAAACAACTTCAACCCAAAAAATGGCCATGCTAAGAATCAAGATAGATTCAACCCAAAAAATGGCCACGCTCGAGTATTTGATATTACTCAACTTTTGATTCCTTCCAGAAAAAGGGAGGGTATACAATGCTGCCATGATCAATTCCTATTCTAACGACTTCGCCCCAACTTCCCTCCAAACCATCTGAGTTTAATCAACCTTAGGGATTAACCCAAGACAATAATCCCAAATTATACAATCACAAACCATCCAATCATTCAACCATTTCTTTCCACCCACTTAATTATAACTGAAAACCCTCATTCTACATAAATAAAGAATTTGCCGCCATTATAACACAAAGTAATTCACCAAAACAATAAAGGAATTCAGAAAAATTGGGAATCACCTCCATTGAGAGCAGCAGCAGCAGAACATTTCCGAGTCAAATTCGCTGAAATTTCACAATATTGACGCTCATACCCTTCAAAAACCTGACTCATTTTTCCGAATATTTCTTTGATGACTAATTCTGAAATTGGTCTCTGTCTACCCTGATTCCAACAAAATAAAGGGAAATTCGATGAACATCAAATTCAATTCGTAATGAAAACCCTAGATTAATCAATTGGGTTCGATTAAAGAGAAAATTAACTAAATAATTAAGGGGAGAGAAGACGGTTACCAGAAAATTGATCGGAAATTGACGCCGGTGATCGAAGGTCGTAATTTGATTTATCGAAAAAGGAGAGATCCGGGAATTTCCAGCGAAAGGAGTTTGCAGCGATTATTTGGTGTTGGGGATGATCTTGGCAATGGCAAAAATGTAACTTTTTCAACACTGTTTTAAACAAAGGAACTTTCTTTATCTTGTTTTTTGGTCGACAGCTATTTTGTTTTAGAGTATGATTTTATGCGGTTTTAACTTTTAAGGGTTAACTATAGAATATCGAGCATTGTTTTGTTTTCTTTCGGTGTTCCCGACTTCCAGCTATGATCCGAATACTGAACTATGGAGTAGATGATATGCGTAAAAAAAGTTGGTTTAAGTATGTTTAGGTTAAGAAAAGTGCACCTTAGAAGTGAAATATAATTGGCTATTTAAAAATTCTCAAGTTGGTGCTACATGTCGGTCCACTTAGTTATTTTGTCAAGTGGGTAGTGGGTGTCCACGTGGCCAGAAGTAGTTCTCCACATGGCTGGCAAAATAGGCTGATATAGATAATGGGCTGGTATTGGAAATGAACCTGATGTCAAGGCCCAACCCAATTTACCTGATCCATATCGGTGTCGGTATTGTCCCGCACACCTCTATGTTTCACAAACATAGAGACATTCCTTCGGACTATCCGTATTTTGGTCAAAAAGAGACAATCCGCCGTTATTTGTAAAAGTTACCGTGTCAAACATTTTAGTTAACGCCTACCTGCTATTACTCTTAAGTCATATCAACACATATACCCTTGATAAACATATCTCATTAATGGTTAAATACCCTAATAATATTTGCTATAAGCCTATAAGTTATATTTGCACCATGCTCGCAAGTGTAGGATCTGATTTTCGATGTGATACGACTAACGAGTACGAGTATATACTGTTTGGGTCCAATTTACTCCAATTGGGCTACTCCACAAATGATTCAATTACAAAGCCCAAAAAAGGTTCAACTCTCCTAAAGCATGTCAAGTCAGTCAAAGGCCCGGTCAACATGGTAAGCCCATCTGAATTCAAGGCCCAATTTATCTATTTGAGCAAGGTATAAAAGCCTTGACTTCCTTCTTTTTTACATTCATTCACTTCAAGCCTCAAGCAATTAACTCTCTTGCATAGCTTTCTCTCTAGAAACACTGTACTGACTTCGGTATCGGAGGGGCCTTCCTCGGCACAACCCCGAGGCCAGTTTACGTGTGTTTTCTATGCAGGAAACCTTCGTCCAGTCATCACTTGGGCCGAGTCCAGTTTTCAGCCCACAAGAAAGATCCAGACGAAGGACCTATTGTTTTCATCCGAAACAATTTGGCGCCGTCTGTGGGAATGACATTAAAAAACAAGCCAAAAATCCATCATCTTAGCAACATGACTAAGAGCGAAAAGAGCGCCAAAAAAGAATGGTCCTTCTTCCTCATAGAAAGGCTCAATTCCATCTTCACCCTTAAAGAAAGGACCACCTTCATCATCATCTTCTGAGGCTACATCGTCAAGGAATGTTGTCGGATAGATCACCTCACAACATAGTTCAGCTGCCAAGTTCTCATTGGCCGAGCCAGTCAATCGCTAAGAGTCCAACTCCTAGCTGCTATTCCCAGTCCCGTCCAAGGTGGACGCCCCAAACGGGTCCCTCTACGGAGGAAATGGCAAGAGCCCTCGCTAACTTCATGGATTTCATGAAGGCCCAAGCGACTCAGCATCCCCCACCTCCTACTCCCTCAGTGCGCGCTGACACCATAGAGCAGCCGAGACACTTGAGAAGGAGGATAGGGCAAGAGGAAGGAGAGCGAGTTCCATCTTTTAAGGAGCTCGAATACTGGGACGAGGACACTTGGAGAACTGAACGGGAAAGAAAAAGAAACCTACAATTCTTCGATGATTCCGAGCTCCGAAGTATCAAAAGCAGCAACACCGCATCCACGTTGCAAGAGACTGCCCGCTGAAACGTTCACGAACGCATCGGCCCGAGGGAGGGGAGTGTGCACAGTCGCCTCACCTACCTCTAAGGAACTGCACCTTACCCTGCACCATCCCAGCCGAGGACGAAAACCACTTCTACCTCTCTAAGAGGGGGAAGCGAGGTCCCATCACCTGGGAACAAGGGGAAAGTCGTGATGGTTCCCTCTAGTTCCCCATTCCAGAGCTGGATTCTGAAAGAGCATGTGCCGACAGTAAAAATCCTGGCACACATCACATATGATGGTACTTTAGACCCGAAGGACCACTTTACCTCCTACGAGGGGCAAAAATGCATCTGAACCCCAGGTCCGAAGTGACCTGGTGCAAATACTTTCCAACAACTTTGAAGGGTGTTGCACAAGCATGGATCACCAAAGGTGTAAAGGAAGGCTCAATACCTGGTTGGAAAGACCTCTCAAACAAGTTCAATAGCAAGTTTTCTACGGCAAACCGCCGAGAGAAAACAACTGCGGAGCTCATGAGCGTGCAACAAGGGGAGGACGAAAGCCTCCGGGACTATAAGCGTAGTTCTGCTGAAGGAGGAAGACAAAGTCCAGAAGCCGATCTACTTCGTCAGCCACACTTTGACGAATGTCGAGACCCGCTACCCTTTACTTGAAAAAGTTGCATATGTAGTAGTGGTAACCGTTCGCAAACTGAGGCTCTATTTTGATTGTCATCAAATAGTGGTCTTAACTGATCAGCCACTGGAAAAAGTCCTCAGTAAAGTGGAAAAATCTGGTAGGCTGGCAAAGTGGGCCTTCGAGCTCACTGAGTTCAACATCAGCTACCAGCCGAGGACATCCATCAAGGCACAAGCTCCGGCGGACTTCCTGGCCGAGTGCTCTTACCAGGAAACACTAGATGAAGAAAAGAAGACTGTAAATGGTTCGGGGGCGAGGGTAGTACTTACCTCACCCAAAGGCAAGCCCTTTGAGTATGCACTCAAGTTTGCATTCCGAGCTTCGAACAACGAAGCAGGATATGAGGCAGCGATCGCTGGCCTAGAACTGTGCATATCACTAGAAGCCGAGCATGTCTATTTGAAGACAGACTCTCAGCTCGTCACAAATCAGATCCGAGGCGAGTATGGGGCTTACCTCGCAAAAATCAAAACGATAATTGCGAAGCTGAGAACTTTTGAAGTCGAGCTGATCCCAACGGGTCAGAACTCACAAGCCGATGCACTCTCCAAACTTGCAAGTTCAACTCTAACCGAGCTGAACCGATTTGTCTATGTTGAGGTGCGGCGAAAAAGAAGTGTTGACGAAGCACATGAAATTTGCTACGTCACACCCGAACTGAGCTGGATGGACCCCATCCTAGCTTACAAACTTCGGGGAGAAATTCCCGAAGACAGAAACCTAGCCTCCAAGCTGAAGAGAATCAGCTCAAGATTCATCGTCTTCAGAGGAGAGCTACTGAAAAAATCCTTCCCACTCCCACTGTTGAAATGTGTGTGACCAACAGATGCTGACTACGTCCTTCGGGAGATTCACCTCAGCATATGTGGGAATCATATCGGGGGGAGAACTTTAGCCCACAAGGCACTGAGGGCAGGGCATTATTGGCCCACCATGATCATAGACGCCAAGGAACTACTCAGAAAATGCGAGAAATGTCAAAAAATTCACATTAGTTATCCATCAGCCACCCGAGATCTCCAGCCAATTCTGAATCCTCTTGCATTTGCTCAATGGGGGCTGGATATCTTAGGACCATTCCCAGATGCTCCGTACCAGAAAAGATGGCTGGTAGTCGGCATTGACTATTTTAGCAAATGATCGAGGCCGAGGCCGAGGCAGCCTCGAACATCACTGAGCAAACTGTCAGGAAATTCATCTAGTAGAATATTATCACTCGCTTCGGAATTCCGAAGGTCTTTGTCTTCGTTCATGGGAGACAATTTGACAATCTGTCGCTGAGGCGGTACTCTGAGTTTGGCATCAAGTTGGCCTATTTTGCAATATGCCATCCGCAGAGCAACGGTCAAACCGAAGCAGCAAACAAGGAGATTCTCAACGCACTCAAGAAGAGGGTTGAGGATCAAAAGTCCAAGTGGATATGGGAACTCTCTGGAACCCTCTAGTCACTTTGGACAACCGAAAAAGAGGTTATGGGACATTCACCATTTGAGCTGGTGTATGGATCCGAAGTCGTCCTTCCAGTCGAAATTGGCATAGAAAGTTTGCGAGTGCACCACTTCTCAGCCGAAGAAAATGAACAACTCATGAAAGAATCCCTCGATTTTCTAGATGAGGTCAGAGATTCGGCTCAAGACAGAATGACTGCATACAAACAAAGAATCGACAAGTTTTATAGCCGAAGGGTCAATGCAAGACCACTCAAAATTGGGGACTTGGTTCTTCGAAATACCGCAGCAATGAAAAAAAGCGGCATTCATGGGAAACTCTCAGCCTCTTGGGAGGGATCTTATGAAATTTATGATGAGCTTCAACCTGGAACCTACCGACTTCGTCAGTTGGATGGAACCGAGTTGAAAAACCACTGGAATGTTGATGTACTGAAAAAATTTCATGTGTAAACCCTTCGGGGAAGAACTATCTATGTAAGTGCAGCTTTTAAAATTAATGAAAGGCCTCCGAGCCACCGTTCTTATCAATTTTGAAAGTTTAATTTCTATTTTATGTCTTCTAGGTTTTTTGAAAAGGGGTTTCTGTTCGGCACTGTCCGAAGTAGCCTAACAGCGATATAATACTTCAGATTGCAGCCAAACCCGCCCAATAGGGAACAATGATTTCACAACCGAAGTATAGCCATATGAAGGCACGGTACTTCTGATAAATCAGTCCCTTGGGACAAAGAGGCCGTGGACAAATCTGAAGCATAGCCAAGCACTGGCATTGTGCTTCAGTGGTGTTATATCCGAGGCATTGCCATACTCTAGCATTGTGCTTCAGATAGTCATTCCCTCGAGAAACTTTCAAGGATCACGAGAATACTGCTCTCGAAGTCTAAGACTTCTGAGCAGCGAACTCATAGATTCTTCAAAAAAAAAAAAAAAAGCATAGAAACTTCAAAAATATTTTGCTTAATACAAGGCAGAACGAAGAAAGTCTTCATCTATACCAGTTAAAAAAGCAAATACCTTATAAATCCTAAGACTATGACTTCAGATTTCTGGGGGACAAGAAGCACTCAGCCAGTCTTACTTTTTCAGCAAGTGGGGACCAAATAGGTTCAAGCCGAAGCTCAACACTTAGAAAAATTAACAAGAGAGAAAAGTGCAAGACTAAGTAAAAGAGGCAAAGCAGCTGGAGAATAAAACAATGCATTCAAAGCAGCAAATTATGCTCGGATCCCCGAGCTACAACAAATCAAGTTCGGAATAAACAGAGACATATCCTAAATTGGCATCCACCCACTAAACTCTCAATATACCCTAATAACTACAAATAGCCGTTATTGCCTCAATAACCACGAAATTCAAATGCTAATTAATCATTTGCTTCCCTCCATTTTGCAAATCAAAACCCAACTCGTCAAACTACCGAATCGGGTCTGGGGGGCAAGTTGTTTGGATTCAATTTACTCCAATTAGGCTGGTCCACAAATGATTCAATTACAAAGCTCAAAAAAGGTCCAACTCTCCTAAAGCATGCTAGGTCAGTTAAAGGCCCGATAAACATGGCAAGCCGATATGATTTCAAGGCCCAATTTATTTATTTGAGCAAGGAATAAAAGCCTTGACTTCTCTCTTTTTACATTCATTCATTTCAAGCCTCAAGCAATTAATTCTCTTGCATATTTTTCTCTCTCTAGAAACACTATACTGACTTCGGCATCGGAGGGGCCTTTCTCGGCACAATCCCCGAGGCTATTTTGCGTGTGTATGTTGTGCAGGAAACCTCGTCCCAGTCATCACTTGGGCCGAGTCCAGTTTTCAACCCACAAGAAAGGTCCAGACGAAGGACCTATTGGAGGCCTAGGCTGTGGAGGTAGTGGAGGTTGTAGCTGATGATGAGAAACACCAGTTGTTTGCATTGGTTGCTGTAAATGGCCAGGCACAGTTGGCATGGGGGGTTGATGAGTAGGAGGCGGCTGTGATCCAGAATGCATCGATAGTGGGGGCATATTAGGAACTTGAGAATACTGCGGATGTGGCATTTGGCTTGCCTGGGTATTCAAGGGACCCCTAGGCTGCTCAATTACTTGTGGTGGTATGAACTGAGAATGCATACCCTACATAGTAGTTGACGCGATTGGCAATGAAGGTTGATTATGTTGTTGCTTTCTCACAGGAACTTGAGCCTTGGATATATTTGCTTGGTCCGGCAAACTAACTTGCTTAGGTGCTGAGTGAGCTGCATGGTCCGGCAAAAATCAACTCTCCAATACAGAAAGAAATACAACAGTATCAATATAGAAGACAATTACAATGCATGAAAATGCAGAATTGTTTTCATCCGAAACATATACTAACACAAGTGCTCATTTTATCAGAGTATAACCAACCCAGTTTGCTCATTATTATTGTGATTTATGCCAACCAATCTTCAGCAACAATTTGGAATTTGAAGTCTTTTTACTCTTATGCCTGAATTTGCGTGTATTGCTCTTGCTCACCAAGTGTTCGATGAATTACCTAAGAGAACGTAATGTAAAAAGAATATATACCCTGAAGCTGAAAGGTTTTCGCTTTTCTCTGTATACCACAATGGTAACACCTCCTCCTACTACTGCTCTACAAAACCTTCCTGGGTTTCAGGAGCTATGCAGCCTTGTTTCGACTCCTATCGGTGGCCTAAATGAATTGGAATTGAGTCTTAAGAAATGTGAAGTTCACTTAACCCCTTCAATTGTGGTCGAAGTGGTGAATCATTGTAAAGAGGAAGCATCCACGAGGCGGTTGCTTCGTTTCTTCACATGGTCATGCAAGAGTTTGGGTTCGGCTTTGGGGGATAAGGACTTTAACCATGCCATTCGGGTTTTTGCTGAGAAGAAGGATCATAGGGCAGTTGACATTTTGCTGGCAGATCTTCGTAAGGATCAAAGGGTTTTGGAAGCACAGACTTTCGGAACTGTGGCTGAATTATTTGTGAAGATGGGAAGAGAAGACGATGCACTGGGCATCTTTAAAAATCTGGACCTGTTCAAGTGTGCACAGGACAGAATGACTGTCACTGCTATTGTTAATGCGCTTTGTGCAAAAGGCCATGCAAGAGGGGCAGAAGGGGTTGTGTATCATCATAAGGATAAGATATCCGGTGCAGAGTCTTGTGTTTATAGGAGTATATTATATGGTTGGTCTGTGCAGGGAAATGTCAAGGAGACTCGTAGACTTCTCCAGGAGATGAAGTCGAGGAAAATTACTCTGGATCTTTATTGCTTCAACACGTACCTTAGGTGCCTTTGTGAGTATAAACTTAAGAAAAACCCGTCTGGGCTTGTGCCAGAAGCTCTTAACGTGTTCATGGAAATGAAAACATACAAGATCACTCCAAATTCAATAAGTTACAATGTGTTGCTTTCTTGTTTGGGTAGAACAAGAAGAGTAAAGGAGTCGCTCAGAATCTTTGATTCCATGAGGAAATCAGGCTGTGCTCCTGATTGGGTGACCTATTATCTTTTAATTCGGGTTTTATACTTGACGGGAAGGTTTGGAAAAGGTAATCAGATACTGGAATTGATGGCAGAAGATGGGCTTGAGCCACCAGCAAAGTTTTATCATGACCTGATTGGTGTTCTTTGTGGGGTTGAGAGAGTAAATTATGCATTGGAGTTGTTTGGTCGCATGAAGAAAAGCTCAGCTGATAATTATGGTCCGGTGTATGATGTTTTGATTCCAAAATTTTATAAGTGTGGTGAATTTGAGAAGGGCAAAGAGCTTTGGGATGAGGCAGAGAGAATGGGTATTGCTCTACAATGCTCAAGAGATGTGTTGGATCCTTCAATAACCGAGGTTTTTCCGCCCAAGAGGAAGGAGCACTCTCTGAAAGTCAAGGATACATCAATGCTGAATACTAGAATTACCAAGGGTAATCGTCTTCTACAGATTGCAAAGAAGCCAAAATTTCGTAACAAGAGAAGGCAGAAAAAGAAAAAGCCTAAGAAGAAAGCAGCATCAACTTGATTTGGTTCATATGATAAACTTCATTTGTTTTCTTCTTCTACCAATTCTGATCTAGTGTAATATCTATCTACTGAAAATGAGCCTTCTTATGTAATTCTTGAAAGAGGCACACAGCGGTCACATATGATTTTGATGAAATTATATACAAAGTGTCACGAATCTCATTTCTGTCTGCAGCTACAAAAATTTAGTCTTTCAGACTTTCAGTACCCTTGTTCTCTTGAAAACATGTCTTCTGATGTCCATTTGAGGTTTTGGTTAGTTAAATCCTTTACTTATCAAACTGCCAGGTTTTTCAGGTTTTCTATTTAAGAGAGGTCTGAAATTCTGTGCAAAAGGATCTTTTGGTGATCGTAAGGGCCTCGATGAAATCAATTTTGAGCCGTATGTAGATGCAAAATTAGAAAGAATGCTCATTGCATAATCTAGAAGGGTTTACTGTGGATTGTGATATTAAGAAAATATACGTTAAGACGAATTCAACAAAATTCCATGTGACTATGTCATCTTTTAAAGATTAATAAGAATTTACGGCCAAAATTTTCATAGTTTAACCTAAGTATTAGCAACAGGACAATATAAGGTAGAGTATGACTCCGTATATTACTACGTGGATACAAGTAATGGTAGCAACGTTCAAACAAGTATTTGATCTTACCCTCATATTATATTACTCGCCCCCAAATTATTTATATGCACATGATTACTCCTTCTCTATATTATATACTCTCTCTGTCTCCTAATACAAAGCCTCTTTTGGTTTTTGCCCAAGAAATAAGAAAGTTGTAAATTCTTTAAAACTAAGAAAAAATTGGCAAAAATAATCTCAACTTTGCCTCATTCGCTCAAAATAATCCCAAATTTGGATTACTTTTTTATAATCCGAACTTGATATCAATTTGCTTCCAATGGTTCCAACCGGTCATCTAACTTGTTACAACAAGTTACCTGACACGTGTCGGCATGTAATTGGTCAAAAAAATAAAAATAAAAATAAAATTAAAAAAATATTTCCAAAAATAATTAATTCAATAACCAAAAAAAACACCCACCACCTCATCCTCCACCAGCCCAACCACCCTATCCGGCCAGCCCTCCGCCCCTGCCCCTCCCGCCGCGCCAAGATCCTACGCTTTCGCCGGCGTCGACACCGGCCCTCCGCCCCTACCCCTGTGCCGCCCCCTAAATTACCATTACCCCAATCTCGAAACCCCTCTCCCTCCCCCGAAAACCCCTAAAAAACTCCTCCTCCGCCGCAAAAAGCCCTCAACTGCCCCTCCTCCACTTTCGAAACCCTAGCACAATAATTAGATGCTGCAATTCAGAGCTTTCTCTACTTTCACGCGGGCGGCGCAGCTGGCGGAGAATAATCGGATGGTGGTGGCGTAATGGAGGTGACGAAGATTGAAATTGGTGGGGAGTAGAGGCGAGAAAATGATCGAGGATCTTACTGATCTCGGCATCTCGCCATTGTTGGGTATGGTGGTTTAGGGGCGACGCAGGGGGTAGAGTGAGGGCAGCGCCGATGCGAGGGCGGAGGGCTGGGCAGGGCAAAGGGCTGGATTGGGCGGGGTAGGGAGGGTGGCCGGTGGTGGTGGGTTTTTTTTTTTATTATTATTTTTTTAAAATTATTTTTTTTTAAATTAATTATTTTTTTTAATTAATTAGTTTTATTGAGTAGTTAAGTGTTAAATAATAAATAACAGTTTTTTAAGTGTTAATTAGTATTTTTTGACTAATCACGTGGTGACACGTGTAAATTAAACTTAAAAATAAAAACTTACCTATTCAACCGATTACAGGTGACTTGGGACCATCGAGAGTAAATTGATATCAAAGTTCGAATTATTAAAAAAATAATTAAAAGTTGGGATTATTTTGAGCGAATAAGGCAAAGTTGGGATTATTCCAGTCAATTTTTCCTAAAACTAATGATTAAAAGTACATATGTGCATGTGGGGTTAGAGAGAGATAGAGAAAAAGAAAAAGTAGTTAGGAATAATTGAAAAGATAGAGAGAGAAATTGTTAGAAGTTGAGGTTAAAAGTACAAAAAAGTAATGAAAAAAAGATGACAACTCATCAAAAAAGAGGATAATAATGTCAAAAAATACAACCTTCAAATAAAAAGAGCCACTGTATTTTGCTTTATCCAAAAAGGAAATAAGGCTTTGTATTAGGGGACGGAGGGAGTACTAAAGTAATTACCAAATAAAACACTTGACACAATTCTATGAAATTTTTTCCCTCCAAAAAGCTTCTTTTTTTTTCCCCTTTCTTTTTTTTTTAATTTGTATCAAATAATTTAAAATCATTTTAATATAAACAAACAAGAATTTTAAGGGTATACAATAAACAAATTTAAAATTTTAAAAAAAAAATGTTACATAAGTCATTGTTAATAAAGCTTACTATTATGAATCTGTGCATATTTGCACAGGCACAAAACTAGTAATAATAATACTTTATCCATTGTAAATTACTTGTCATCTATATTAAACAGAATATGGTGAAAGTAACACGTTGACCTCCAAAAATGAATGTATAAGCTAACGACCGAGCTCTCTGAGTTACTTGTATAGTTGTATGTATATATTTGGGGTAAACGCTAAATAAACAATACAGAAATCTCTCTTACCAGAACCATGGAAGACAATAAGAAGCTCAACATAGTAATGTTCCCATGGCTAGCATTCGGTCACATGCTACCTTTCCTACAGCTCTCCAAACGCTTAGCTACAAAGGGACACCATATTTTCTTTGTTTCAACCCCCTCGAAACCGCAAACGCCTTCCAAACATCCCTGAAAACTTAGCCCCTTTGATCACTCTAGTCCCTCTTCCGTTACCTCGAGTTGAAAACTTACCACCAAATGCTGAAGCCACAACCGACATAGGCTTTAGTATGGGGTTTGATCTTCTAAAGAAGGCCTACGACGGTTTACAAGATCCTATGAAACATTTTCTAGAAAATTCTGTTACTACTTATCCATTAGACTGGATCATCTATGATTTCAGTTGTTAATGGTTACCTCCTATTGTGGAAAAACTCGGAATTCAAAAGGCCTTCTCCATATTAGGTGCAAGAATGCTTACAATCTTAGGTCCATTAAGTCAGGATAATGGTCCTGCTGCTGATTCATGTACCAATAAAAACTCGGTATTTATTTGGTAGGATCTTGGACGGAAAAGTGAAGAAAAGCAAGAGCAGAGAGCTTGGAGCGAGGTTATCAAATTGAGCCAGAACTTTCTAGATGAGGGTGATTCAATTTTATAAGTTGAAACTTGAGCGAGGTTATCAACACTCGTGAAAGCTAGAGCAAATCTAGCTAAACTGGTAGCCAAATGTTCAAATTGAAGCTAACTTATTAGTTATTACTTATGTGAAATCTGTTTTGTGTAATTGTGTTTTGTGTAATTGTGTTTTGTGTAATTGAAATCTCTTGAACTTATTAGTTATTACTTATGTGAAATCTGTTTTGTGTAATTGTGTTTTGTGTAATATGTTTATGTGATTATGTCATTATGTGAAATTGCTTTATTTAGACCATTTAGTTGAATATTTATTCAAATAATTTTTCTGGGGAATATTGCTTGATTTAGTTCAATATTTATTCAAATTTCAGAATGAAGAGAAAACATACTCCAAATGAAATGCAAAACATTACTAGCTTCTTTGCTAAAAAGAATCCTACTCCAACTTCTCTTCCACATCCAACACAAAATGAACAAACTATAACTCCACCTCAAGAAAGTGAGCAACTTTCATCTCCATCTCATTATTCAACTCAAAATTCCCCTCAAAATGAACAAGGCCAATGTTCTCCTAATGCCCCAATCTTTGGAGAAAGATTAAGTGAACATGAATTTGCTAATCTTCCACAAGATCCAGGAAAGAGGAGAAAAATGAGTCAATTTCATAAAGATGATAGAGATTTAGTGAGAAGAATTTACATTCAAAGAAAGCCTTGTCAGCCCAAAGACTTTACATTTCCTCAAACTTCTATTTTTGGCAAAAATCGTCGCTTTTGTGCTAAGTGGTTTGATACTTGGACTTGGCTTGAGTATAGTGTGGAAAAGGATGCTGCCTATTGTTTCCCTTGTTATCTATTCAAGGATGAAAATGCCTTTGGAGGTGATGCTTTTGTTAGTGATGGTTTCAAATCATGGAATCGATCGGATTTAATAAGAAAACATGTCGGTAAACACTTGAGTGCACATAATAATGCTGTTTTAGCTATGGATTTGTTCAAGAAACAAAATTCAAGCATCACACAAGCCTTAACAAAACAAACCGCTGAGAGTACAAATGCATATAGGACGCGACTTGAAGCTTCAATTGAATCTATCCAATGGCTTTTACTCCAAGGGTTGCCTTTCCCTGGTCATGATGAAAAAGAAAGTTCCTTAAGAAGAGGTAACTTTCTTTCACTTTTATCCCTTATTTCCAAAGGTAATCCTGAATATTCTAAAGTTGTTTTCAAAAATGCTCCTAGTAATTGTCAACTTACTTCTCCTAAAGTCCAAAAAGATATCATAAATGCATGTGCAAAAGAGACCACTAAAGCAATGCTTGAAGATATTGATGGTGGTTTATTTTCTATCCTTGCTGATGAGTCCGCTGATGTTTCTGACAAGGAACAATTGGCTCTTTGTTTGAGATATGTTAATAGAAAGGGAGAAGTGTGTGAGCGTTTACTTGGTATTGTGCATATTGTAAACACTGCTTCTTTGACTCTCAAAACTGCTATTGAATCCTTATTAATGGAGCATTCTTTGTCTTTCTCTCAAGTACGGGGTCAGGGTTATGATGGGGCAAGTAATATGCAAGGTTCTATTAATGGCCTTAGGACTCTTATAGAGAATGAGTGTAAAGAAGCTTATTTTGTCCACTGCTTTGCTCACCAACTTCAATTAACTCAAGTTGCACTTGCTAAAAAGAATTCAGATTGTGCTTGGTTGTTTGTTGATGTACTTGCACCTCTCTTGAATTTTGTGGGGGG